CTAGACTTGAGTCAATTTATCCATTTAGTAACTTACCTTCAATTTATCCATATAGAAATGCTGAACCCTTCAACATGCTTAATCCTGGCATGGTACGTTGGATATGATGCAAGTCTTATAGCACAGTGAAACCCTACCAAATAGTAAGCATCCACGCCAATATATCTAATTAGGTAAAAGCCATGCACTCTCTAATTAGGGTTAAGAGCCCTACCGAAGAAAGCAACTAGGTTTAAGAGCCCTACCGAAGAAAGCAACTAGGTTTAAGAGCTCTACCGAAGAAAGCAACTGTTGGTCGCTTCTTACTGCACCTGAACCCAAGCTGAAGGTATAACTAGTACTACTAACTAGTCTAGTAGTAGGCCTTCTTGCTGGGGGGTCTCCAGCCCAGTCTGCATATGTAAATCCAACTCAATCGGGTTTCATATAGAATACCAAACTCCCTAGTGCGTTGAAAAAATCTTAGAATACATGTAGACCTGATTCCAGAGGGGACGATGAAGAGTAATCAATGCCGACTTCATTAATGTCAGTGGAGATCACTCAAGAAAGAAGACGATCAGGTTTATTGCAGAGCCAGAGACTTCTTGCTATAGACTTCTATAAGTCAGTTCGTGAGCTCCCTAGAATAGTTCACTTTCTTATAGTAGCTTCTTTTATAACTCGGTTACGTAAGCAATAATAAAGGAGCTGGTACTTATCAAGTTGAGGTTGTTATGTTTGTGTGACACCTATTTCATCAAGTATTAGAAATATTTTACCTGTACCCATCTATTTCATCAATAAACAACATACTTCTCCAATTGTTTTGAGTCCTATGTATTTTACAGAACCATGGCTCCTCTTCAGATTGGGCATCACCTGTAAGCCTACAGGTGGATGGAAAGTTCATTTTTGGTACAGTGTACTAACACCACTATATTTGCGTGACTTATGGGAAAATACATTTCCATCAATGTAGGAGAAGGTTTTGATGGGTGATTATAGATTGCTCCTTAATCCTTATTGAGAGTTGAGTCATGAGTGATTGATTCCAATCTTTAGGTGAGTGTGTCTGTTATCTCCAGCAATCTATCTTCTATTTATTCAGATCAGGTTTTATTGTACATTACAACATTTTATTTACTTTACTATTGTTCTACATCACTAGATTGAGCTCTAGGCAGATGTGTCGAGAAGTGGAAGGTCAGTAGATAAAAAGAAATACAAATGAAAATTGCAGGAAAAGTTAGTTAAATACATAAATATGGATAGTGTATCATAAGAGCAGCACACATTATATACTTGAGTAAGATAAAATCTAAACATTACAGAATAATCATTAATAAACATAATTATAAATGTATGCTCTTGAACTGAAAAGTGGAAATAGAATACAGACTACGGACAAGTTATAAAGGTATTAATATGCTTGAACTATTGAAATGGTAGTGATAGATTATAATTAAGGACCTGGAATAATAGTACTTCAAACAGAAGAATTTAGAGAAGAATATGATCGTACTTGTTAATGACCATGTTACAAGGAACACCATCTTTTCTCTTTGCCTTGCAAATGCCATAATCAACAGAGGTACCCATCTTTGCAATTTGACCACTCGAGTACACACTCAAAGAAAATCCATTACCCTACAAACATACAAAAGAAGTTGGATATGCCCAAATCCCTCACAGATAAAGCTCATCTAAATTCAAAACAACAAATGTCATACCGTATTATCCTTACGAACACTGGCATTGAAGAGCGCAAAAACTGTTCCTGCTGCCACATTGCAGTTCTTACTATAAGCATCTCCAAACAAAAACACAGAAGTAACCTTTTCATCCAAACATCCAAGTTTCCATATACAATATTTCTTCCCCGTTGAGCTCACTTTTGGATCCAACTTCTCTGTTAAAACACCTGCAGTTGCCCAACTACCGGAAATACTATCACCAACTAGCAAGTTCCTATCAAGACCGGATGAATACAATCAGAATCAAAATATCACAATATAATCCATGGTGACACTTGATTTGGTATTAATGTGATATATCGAGTACCTTATTGCGTTCATACGAATAAACCGGGTCTCTGCAAAATTCAACTCTTCGTTGGAGATTGCGAGGTACCTGGAAAAGTAAGCATAATAATGAACAAATAAAGGTAAACCATTTAAGCATTATTATTAGCTAATTATTTATCATTGGTCAAAGAAACTTACTTCATTCGCAGACCTGAAAACCTTTCAGTGTGAACATCAGTTGACTTCTTTGAGTGATTCAACTTGGGTTTTTTATCAACTACATTGGGTACGTCTTCAATGTAGTCTCCAAGGCAATCTCTAAACGCAGACATGTCAACCTTCCCCACACGCCTTG